AAAGTAGAAATTTTATTGCATTCACAAAAGAGGTACTGTAACTGGTCAGATAAAACACCCTAATATGCAAACCTGTTCAGGTTTCAGTAAAAGATTCAAAGCTAATTGTCTTCTAAGGGTGTATGTTAATAAGATCTTTCACTTTTACAGCCTCATATACATAGACACAGTCTGAGTACTGTTTGATCCCTTTGCTTAGACGCTCCTGCACCCTTTATGCCCAGCACTTAGCATCGATTTTTAATGGGAGGTTTAAGAAGTGAAGGGGGGCAGAAACTGATCTCACTCTTTATGCAAGCTGACGTTAGGAGAAACCTATCTAAAGATCGAGGGCCAGCTGTTTCCCAGAAAGTCTCCTAATGCAAAGGGCATCACTAGAAAAGCTTGGGTAATGAATTTCTAAGCAGCATGGGGAGACCTCAGGACCAAGATGAAGTTTGAGGACAAAGACTGTGCTCATATTCTATGAAATGATTTATTATTTCAGTGCCTTTTTTCACTTATGTTAGACCTAATGGATTTTTTTATATTTGATGTGTAGCTCATTTGGTTTAATCAATCTCTGAGATCGAAGAATATCTCTTCTTTTTTTTGGAATTTGCTGTTTTGCATCTCCCTACAGTCTTGTTAAATTTTTTTCAAAGGGGAATGCACATTGTGTTTTTTTTTAGGTCACATAATTGATAGAATTTGCTGGGTTTTACACTCATTGATAAAAACCAGACCAGAAATAGCATAAAAAGCCTTATAATTTCCATGGAGTTGGACTTAATCTTAATTTTTACTTTTTTTCACACTAAATTATCTCAGATCATCAAAAATAATTTTAATATGAAGTGAGTGAAAAAGTGAAAGTGAAAAACAAAACAAAAAAATCCAAACCAACTTGGCCCTTAATGAAAATGCAACCCTCCAACTATTAACTGTGTTTAACTATATTATTTCTTCTTATTCCAACAGGCACAACCAGTCCGATTAATGCCACTCAGATTCAATAAACCTTTTAAATAGAACCTGACTGTTGACATGAAGTAGACAAAAAGCAACTCATTGTTGCCTGAATTTTTCAGTTTCATAGACATCATTGTGCTATTCAAACATAAACTCCCGACTGAAGATGAGCAAAACACATATTTTCTTTATTTAGATAAACCTTGTTTTTCAGGGAGAATTGTATTCAATGTCCCCTTAACTCACCAATAATAATACCTACCTTAAATAACACGCAGCTTCTGTTTGGAAGGTAACTTAAAGGAGTCATCACCTCTCTCCTATTTTCCCAGTTGCATTTTTACTCAGTTTTCCTGCAACCTCTTGTGTCCCAGTGGGCTCAAATGTGCGTCAGCATGTTGCACAGTACCTGTCCAGGTTGCAATCCGTTAATCAGCTTTTGATCTCTGTTTTAAAAAGGAGCCAAAAGGTTTATATACATTAGAATATGAATTAAAGCACCTGGTAAGTAAAATTAAAACGTCAGCATTCATTATTTGCCAAATGCCCCCATCCCTCTAGAGAAGCTGAGTCAACCATGAGGCACTCGGATTGAGTCAGAGGTTTCCGTTCTGTTGGCTGGAGGGTGAAGATCCACGCTCTTCTGTTGGTTCCTCCGTGTCCCTCTACTGACTCAAACTCAGTGAGCGCTAATATTCGCATGCCTGCGTCTTTGCCACTGCCAGAGGGAACGTATTAATGCCTCAGCTAATCCGATTACCATTAACAATCCCACAGGGGAAATCACTGCACATCTGCAGCGGACAGATAATTATGTCGCCTCAGATGTTTGTTTCTTTCTTTCTTCATTCTCGCTCTTTTAATGTCGCTGGAAGACCATCGGTGTTTAGTTTTCTCTTTTAATTTTTTTTTTATTTGGCAGCATGAATTGGCCAAATTCCAGAGTGTTTGTGGGCCTTGTGCAGAACATATGGGTTGATGCCCTCCTCTGGGTCTCAAAGGTAAAGTTTTGTGTGATATCGAAACCCTTCAGATGTTCTGTTCAAATAATGCCAAGAACCACGGCTGGGCCAAGACTACTTGAAACCCTTAGCAAAATGTAGTTTCTGCTGTTTATTTTAACCAATGATATCCATTGTTTTCCATTGATCTGAACATCATGCCATAATAGTCAGATCATTCACACACCTTAGTAATTTTAAGTTGTATACAATGCCAGCCCATGGAACAGCGTGATAATCTATTTTATGCATTTATGTGGTATAATATTTGATCAAATAACCTTTGGAATGTCATGTATTGTATTATGGACACACGTTCATCTGGCTGAGTTAGGATAAAAGAAGAAGGTGTTATTCAAGCTAAAATGCCAGACGGTTTACGCTGCACACATTAAAAAATATAAGAAATAAACAACACAACTAATTAATCTCCAGGTCAAGAATATTTTTGATAGAACCTCTTAGCTAAGTTAGTGAAACTCAACTTTAATTAATAACTGCTTTATACACATAGAAGAAAAAGGCAAATTAAAATAAAAAGGCTGCAATTATATCACAGTTAATTGGGTTCATGTTTTAAAGTCTATCTTTAAGAATTTCCAATTAGGTTAAATTAGCTTTGAATTCTAATTTAAAGCAACTGTTGTTTTTTAACCAATTCACAAAGCAAATCCCAGGGGTCAATTAAACAATATATGGTTAAATAATATTTTACTAAATGATTTGTTTGATCAGAAACAGTTAGATCTGATTCTTAACCATTGCTTATTCCTGAGGAAATAACAAAACAAAATGGCTGTGTCCGAACATCCGCCCTAACCCCTAGATCCCTCAATCACTATGTAGAGTGAGGACTATATAGTGGACTTTATACAACAACAACAATTACAGTACATTTATAAAAGTAACAAATCTAATTATACGAAATCAGACGTAGTTAAATCTGACAAATATTGAAATATTAGGCATGTTAGTTAACTGTGGTAATAAAATAGTTATCTGAAACCAGATAGAAAAATAATTAGCTCTATGTTAATTTGCCACAAGACCAATATCCTTTTTATCTATGTAAGAGTAATGGTTTCTGCATTTTAAAGTTATACTAATGTAAAAATGAATAGTTTTATAGACTTGTTTAGTTAACTGTATTTATATAGTATTTCAGGGTGACTTTCCAGTCGTGTGAAATGTTTTAGATAGGGCCAAGTTTCAGCCTCATCATGCGTCCTGCTTCATGTAGTATACAGTGGCTAACAAGGAGCAATTAGCCTCTCATGACCACCTCCCAATCAGGAATCAGGAATCATAATGCTGGGAAAAAAAAACATGTTTGAAATTCAGTCAGCCTTCATAAGCTGTCGTGAGAAAATCCTGCTGTTGGAGCAGAGCTACGGGCATCTACGAGCCGATTCACCAGAACCTCATGCAGTGCACTTGTGCAAACAAGTGAATTCTACTTCTAATGTCCACATTTGACTTCCATATTGACGAGTCCGACCAGCGCCATCACTCGGTACTGAGCCTGACGTGTGGTTTTTGGACATACAATGTGAGCAGTTAGATCGTATCAGAGCGTCGGGCTTTTCAGTGTAAGAACATACATTGTGAGCTGTAAACTTTTACGGACAATCCTGCGGTTTAGTTGCAACGTTTGAGCTGTAGCTGAGTAGAACGATTGAAAATATTGTACATTGTATGCCCGCCTTAGCAGTCACTTAGTATCCTTATGCCTTGGGCCATTCCTGCCATGAATGGTTATGAATTGCCAGTGAATGTTTTAACTGAGTAGGGCCAATTATGAACTTCTCTTTAGGAACACCCTGCTTGACTTCTTGTTTCACTGATCCTATCAAAAGTTGTGACATAGACATTTTAGTTGCATTATTAATAATATGCATTTCTTTAAATGGGAGTAATGAGTGGCATTCTTGTACAAAAAATAGGAAAAAGTGTTAAGTCAACTGAGTGTCAACTGACTCTAAGAATTAGGGAGAGATTCAAAGACCTTGGAGGATATTGAGAATGGCTGTCCAAAGAAGAGTCTGGGGCCATTTTGTGGCCTCTGATTTATTGTTTGTGGCTCCTGCAAACAGTTCAATCCTTCATGGGGAGATTGTCACTTTTTTGGAGCAAGGTTCGCCGATTAAAACATCTTACATTGGCAGTGGTCCGGTAAAACATAAAGTTACTTGATTTTATAAAGAAAAGTTTGGGTTTTATTTGGTTTTATTTCAGCTACATCGTTAATAGGACCATAAGCATTCAATCTTGTTTACTCAATAGAAAGTTTAAAATAAAATAAAAAGCTTCCTTGGGTTTAAACTTTAAAATCTCAGTGTAAATACCACTGATCTAAAGTGATTGGGGAAAGAAGAATGGTGAAAGATGTCTCTCGTCAGGCTGTAACTATGTGAAATACCATAGAAAAACACTGAGTGTTGTCTGTCTCACTGGCACAGGGATGGGTGGGGGGGTAGAGAGTATTTATAGCGGGGGTGTCAATAATTGTGGCCGGTGCTGCGTTTCTTATTAGAGCAGAGAAATAAGCTTTGGTTGAGTTAGATGCTACATCTGCCTTCCCTGCATGATAGCTGAAGCATGAACAGATTCCATCTGCTGGTTTGTCTGAAAAAGTCTGAATCTCAGGAGGCTATTCAACTTCATGATAAAAGTTTTATTCTCCTTGTTTATCGAGTCAGAGATGATTAATTTTACAGCCCTACAACTTTAGCTTTGATAGCATAGGAGTGTAAGAATGAATGCAATCTGTTTTGAATGATGTGGGAGAACATGCAACCAGCAAAAAGGGTGTTAATGAGCAGCAAGGTCAGGCAGTAAATGAAACTGCCAGAAACCCTGCAGTGTTGCATGTGATGCTACATCAGAACGGTTTGAACAAACATTTGAATAAAATTATCTGTGTTTATAGAGTGGTTTACTGAGATTGCAGTGAAGCTCCAGCTTCCTGTGAGAGAATTTAATTTCCCAACAACAGAGCGTCCTTTATCTTTCACATGGTAACCCTCAATCATTTTCATTTCTTTTAAGGTTGGGATTCTCTACTTCCATCCGAGTATTTTCCGCTGCATCCTGCTGCGTTGGGTTCGACTTCTGGGCTTTGCCACCGTCTACGGAACACTCACTCTCAAGCTCTACAGGTATTGTCCATTATTCACCGCTACAATCACCTCCCGGACAATATTGACTTTATCCAGAGCAATTACCTTGAATCTTACATTTTAAATTCCGAGAAAAGCGAGAGTCAAGAGATTGGGTATTTCTCAGCCACTTCATCACCAGACTTTACAGTGGATCCTCTGCCAAGATAAAACAATTAGGAAAATGCAGGACTCTCTGGATCTGGCTGACCTCTAAGAAATATAGAGGACTTACCGGTAGAGATGAACATGTGAGAGAAAAAAGGAACTAGCTGTGCTATTCGGCAGTGATTAGCAGTATAAAACAAAAGGAAAAAAAACAAACATCAGCATTTGAGTTGTGTTTAAAGAGGAAAACCTGTTGTCTGGGTCTTTTTTTCTTTGAAATATGGATTTGTCAAAAGTGGAAATGGAGATTAAGGGAATGAGGGTAAGTGATGCCTTATAAGTGGACACTAACGTACTGTGTGGATCAATTTTTGATGGGGGGCTCATTAGTGGGGAGCGCTGTGGAAATTACATCAATGTTGCTTTGAAGGGCAGAGTCTAAGAATAGCAGGGTGGTCATGTGTTTTAATGTATCTTGCACAATCATGTGTTTGTACTTAGAGACCCTTTTCAGTGCAACTCAGTGAATATGCTGGATCAAAATGTGTTTCTGGAAGCTGGGAGCATAGGTGCAACATTCTCTAATTGGGATTTTCTAAGGCTTTTCCCAATCTTCCCTTAGGAAACAATAAGCATGAAAAGGGTTCAATAAAATAAGAGATGTTTAAATCTCAGTATTTTACTGGGAAATGTGGGAAATTGAAATAAACCAAAACAAAAAAGGAAAATAAGAAATAAGGAAAGAATTAAACCATATTATGTAAATAATCATCAAGTATTAGATTAGACATGGGAAAATTGACATTCTGGCGCCACACATGGTTATCCTTTTTTTCTGCAGAATCTTTAATGTGAGTCTCCTCCTCCGCAGGGTGCTGAAGGTTTTCCTATCCCGGACAGCTCAGAGGATCCCCTATATGACCAGCTGGCGAGTGATGCGCCTGCTGGCCATCATCCTGCTCATCGTCTGTTGGTTCCTGGTGGCTTGGACATCTGCCGTCTGTCAGAACCCAGACAGGAAGTTGGCCCTCATTGATGTAGGCTACACGCCCGATGGTAGTCAGTTCGGCATGTGCCTCCTGGACCGCTGGGACTACATGATGGCTGTTGGTAAGTCTGTAGTCCGCCCTCTGCGTTTGCAGGGTGCATGAGTACAGTACAGGTGCTGGTCATAAAATTAGAATATCATGAAAAAGTAGATTGATTTCAGTAATTCCATTTAAAAAGTGAAACTTGTATATTATATTCATACATTACATACAAACTCATATATTTCAGATGTTTATTTTGTTTAATTTTGATGATTACAAATGACAACAAATGAAAATCTCAAATTCATCATATCAGAAAATTAGAATATTGTGAAAAGGTTCAAAATTGATGGCCCCTGGTGCCACACTCTAATCAGCTAATTAACTCAAACCACCTGCAAAAGCCTTTAAATGGTCTTTCAGTCTAGTTCTATAGGCTACACAATCATGGGGAAGACTGCTGACTTGACAGTTGTCCAAAAGACGACCATCGACACCTTGCACAAGGAGGGCAAGACACAAAAGGTCATCGCTAAAGAGGCTGGCTGTTCACAGAGCTCAGTGTCCAAGCACATTAATAGAGAGGCGAAGGGAAGGAAAAGATGTGGTCGAAAAAAGTGTACAAGCAAGAGAGATAACCGCACCCTGGAGAGGATTGTGAAACAAAACCCATTCAAAAATGTGGGGGAGATTCACAAAGAGTGGACTGCAGCTGGAGTGAGTGCTTCAAGAACCACCACACACAGACGTATGAAAGACATGGGTTTCTGCTGTCGCATTCCTTGTGTCAAGCCACTCTTGAACCACAGACAGCGTCAGAAGCGTCTTGCCTGGGCTAAAGAGAAACAGGACTGGACTGCTGGTGAGTGGTCCAAAGTCATGTTCTCTGATGAAAGTAAATTTTTGCATTTCCTTTGGAAATCAAGGTCCCAGAGTCTGGAGGAAAAGAAGAGAGGCACTTCATCCACGTTGCTTGAAGTCCAGTGTAAAGTTTCCACAGTCAGTGATGGTTTGGGGTGCCATGTCATCTGCTGGTGTTGGTCCATTGTGTTTTCTGAGGTCCAGGGTCAACGCAGCCACATACCAGGAAGTTTTAGAGCACTTCATGCTTCCTGCAGCTGACCAACTTTTTGGAGATGCAGATTTCATTTTCCAACAGGACTTGGCACCTGCACACAGTGCCAAAGCTACCAGTACCTGGTTGAAGGACCATGGTATCCCTGTTCTTAATTGGCCAGCAAACTCTCCTGACCTTAACCCCATAGAAAATCTATGGGGTATTGTGAAGAAGAAGATGCAATACACCAGACCCAACAATTCAAAAGAGCTAAAAGCCACTATTAGAGCAACCTGGGCTATCATAACACCTGAGCAGTGCCACAGACTGATCGACTCCATGCCACGCCGCATTGCTGCAGTAATACAGGCCAAAGGAGGCCCAACTAAATACTGAGTGCTGTACATGCTCATACTTTTCATGTTCATACTTTTCAGTTTGCCAACATTTCTATAAATCCTTTGTTTTTATTGGTCTTCAGTAATATTCTAATTTTCTGATATGATGAATTTGAGATTTTCATTGGTTGTCATTTGTAATCATCAAAATTAAACAAAATAAACATCTGAAATATATGAGTTTGTATGTAATGTATGAATATAATATACAAGTTTCACTTTTTAAATGGAATTACTGAAATCAATCTACTTTTTCATGATATTCTAATTTTATGACCAGCACCTGTAGAACATGAGTTCTCAGAGATTTGGCCTTTAGAGTCATGTTATTAAGTCTGGGTATTTTTGCCTGGTCATCAAGGAATATCTTATATCAGAGATTGCCTCTTAAACCTAATAGCTGTTTGAGCAAGACTTGGTGACAATAACTGCCTGTCAATTAATCTGGGAGACATATTGGCCAAATATATTTTGCAGAACTGTTTTTACTCTGATTTAAATATATAACTCAAGAATTTGGAGATGTACTTGCTGGTGTTGGATTGATGACTTGTGGCATGACCCAAGTGAACTCTTTCTTGAGGTCATGAACTAATGGATGGACATTCTCTTGCAGGTCCTTAAAGGCACACTGTTGGTTTTGTGATCTAAAGAGTTAAAGCATATCAGGTCAATATAAAGCACTTCACACTATCGATGCTAACAGCGGGGCTCTCGTCTTGAATTACCGACTATGTTAGTTGGGAGATGATGGAACGTCATTGACCAGGTCATGTGACTTAGAAGAACGTATGGCTTTACTTCTATCGTCATGGAGCTCATGTTTTTGCCCTATTATTTTTCCGCCTGCTTGACTACTAGTCATGGCTGGAGCAAGGAAAATTTTAAACCTTCCGAGGAGCCTCAAAATAGAAAACATGAAAGGGGTCATGGCTGAGTATAAATAAGAGTCGATTATGGAAAAGAGTTTCTTCGTTGGCACAGGCTGAAAGAAGAAGCTGGATGTAAAACTATTTTCTCAATTTTATTATTAGACTTTGCTCCTATAATACAGTCCTATATCTTTGTTATTATTTTCGATTTTTAGTAGAAGCAAAATACGGGCAGATAAAGCAGGCAGGGCATAAACTAAATCTAAGCGACCCAGGGGCTCTTCACTTTACCTGCACCGCTATTCTTCCCTACATCACAGTCTGATCTGCCTCGACGGTGCTCTCCAGAGAGCAGCAGCATTTCTCACGCCCTTCTTGCTGAACGCAGATGCCTAACGCGGCCCCCAATCAAAAGACTTGGGAGGTTGGCTGATTGTTTGTTGCATTTTGTGACAGTGCTGCGGCACTTGTGGCCACTAGGGGGCGCTAGACATGAAGGTTAAAGGGTCTATTGCCCCTAGTGGCCAAAGGTTACACAACGTACCTTTAAGAAAAAAAACGAAAAACAGCCACGGACCATCACACCACAAACACCATGTAAGAGGGCTGGAATGTAGTTTTAGTTTTGTGATGATGATCAGTGATACACAGATGTACAGTAAGACAAAATCTTTCAAAGAAGTTAGTCTTTGGTTGCATGATGTTTTTGGCAAACATGGGTTAAAATTTTTTTATCCTTGTTTTTTTTTTTACTTGATTTATTCTCCCATTATGTTCAGTCCTTGTCTTATAGCTCAATCTTAAACTCTGGCCTTAAAGGGATAGTTCGGGATTTTTGACATGAATCTGTATGGCATCCCCATCACCAGTGTCATGCAATCACACTGACTTACCCCTGGCAGCATCCTGTGAGCAGAGTTCTCGTCCAGTTTTGGTCAAGCCGAAAGTAGTCCGGCAGGTTTGCTAGACTCAGCGAAATAAAACGTTTCTCTTCCCAAAACATTATGTGTTCAAAAGAGTGATATTTTTGCATCCCAAAAACATTGTAGTGGAAAAAGTCACACGTCGTTATCACTTGGTCCTATTTTCTCTCTGTTCGTATCAGTGCGCGCCGTCATTCTGACAGCGAGCTCAACTTCTAGGAGGGCAGGGAAGTCGCTGTTGTTTGTGATGCAGACAGCAGCTGCTGCAACTCCGACATCCTCATCAATGGAAAGGTTCTGTATCTCGGGCATTACTAAATCCCACTCGTGGCAACAGTAGCATCCACCTCTGTCTGCATTAATTCGCACTTGAAACAAGTGCACCATGATTTGTCGGCCACCCTGGATATCGCAGCTCCAGCTGAGGCTCCTGCGGCTCCGGCTTCAGCTTCCATCACTTCTCTGTCCACCCTCTCTCTTTCTGCCCGATCTAACTCCATTTGTCGAAGTTCATCGTCAGTGTACTCGGGTTCATAAAGATATCCCTTTGGCTCTAAGTGGAAGTCGATGTTTTCCTCGTCGCTCTCGTAGTCAGACATCTTCCCCAGTAGTAAACAATCGCGAATCAAACAGGTAGGCCCTTAACCTGACAACAGCCAGATGCATGCCTCGCTCCGCCTAGCTCTGGCTGTTGTCAGGTTAGTAGGCCCTAGCTGTCAGGTCATGGTGTCGGGCGCACTGATACGAACAGAGAGAAAATAGGACCAAGTGATAACGACGTGTGACTTTTTCCACTACAATGTTTTTGGGATGCAAAAATATCACTCTTTTGAACACATAATGTTTTGGGATGAGAAACGTTTTATTTCGCTGGGTCTAGCAAACCTGCCGGACTACTTTCGGCTTGACCAAAGCTGGACGAGAACTCTGCTCACAGGACGCTGCCAGGGGTAAGTCAGTGTGATTGCATGACACTGGTGATGGGGATGCCATACAGATTCATGTCAAAAATCCCGAACTATCCCTTTAAGTGACACAGTCAACGTCTGCACTTTTTTTTGGTAATCGGTCTTTAATGCTTGCATGGACTAATCTTTTTCACATGACCATCTTTGGACCATCTTTCTGCAATTAGTTTAACTTGGGGTGTGATGTTTACTTTTTGAGATATTATAGCCTGCTTCAGCTCATCAGACTGGCTCTGTTTTGAGGGATTCCAAAAGTTTGTTAATAATTAAAGTCTTGACCTGGATAGTAACGTTGGAAGCAGATGTCCAAAGATGTTTTATTGTCATAATAAATGGAGTCATCCTTTACAATTTTTTTTTTATTAGGGCTCTCTTTGATATTTAAATCTATTTAATGATGTGAACCACTTAAGACAAATAATTAGAAAAAGAGGAGACGTAATTTTGTGCTATGTACGAAAATCCAGCTGCAAAGTATCAAGATATGTGTTATTTTTGCAACGCTGAGTTGCAAACTTTTTATACAGGTACAAAATATCTATAACCGCAACTTTTTTCACTGCTTTGGTTGAGAGGAAGACAGCAGAGGAAGGAATATGAGAAATCAAATACCCTCATCTGTTGTCTCCCGTGCTTCATGCCTGCTAGCCAAGTCTTTATATGACAGAAAAGTAGCTTCTCACAAACAGATGGGCCACAAGCAGAGACACCATGCTGTGCTACTGTATACTGAGCATGCACTCTCATTCTGTTCATTAGGCGGTAAAAATAGGATTTGCAAGTCAGCTCTGTCTCTGCCTGAACACCAGCGCAAACACACAGGGAAACAATAAATCTTTCAGATTTTATGAAATACACCTGCTATGGCTCACAGTCTAAAGTCTAATACTGCTGCAGTGCTGTGGGTTTAATTTTCTGTCTTGCTTTGAAATAATAGGGTAAATTTAAGGGAGCCTACAGCAAAGGGAAACTAACTGAGTGGGCTAACAAATACAGCAGAAAACTGCTCTTTCAGCAATAATATTCTTTGAGTACAGAAAAAAGAACTACATGGAATACTGCTGACCTTTCGGAAACGGTTAGAATTTAGTGTTTTGGCATTATCAATAATTTAAACATGCTCTATGACACTACAAAGAAATAAAATCACTCCCTTAAATCTAAAAAAGAACCTATGGCTTTCATCAGTTCTCAATTTATCTGTTTTCTTCAAGTGGACTCAGCTCTAACCCCCAGGTGATTTGATAAGTGATATTCTTTTTTTTTTTTTTTGAAATTAAATTTTTTTATTTAAGGAATCAAACAAATACGGAACAAAGCTTACATGGTATAATATGCAGAAAATAAAAGCTTACAACACACGGTCAGCCAATTTAGGTAAAAATACAAGGTAAAAAAGTACCCGTTTCTTTTTTACACTTCCAGACAACATTGCTATTTAATAATCTTATTCTAAACAGTCTGCATGGGGTCCTGTAGAACCTATGTAGAATTTTGTATTGAATAAATTTACACCGTACTTCTTTGATGTATTTACCATTATTGACCAATATTTGTTCCCAAGTGTCCTTGTCTATATCACATTCAATGTCTCTTTGCCAGATAACTCTTAGGTTTTCACATGAGCTACGGGTTCAAAAAGCTGTTTTATTGTAAAACACTGAAGCCCTGTGATTAACTGGCCATTGCAGAAGCTGCACAATTACATTGTCTTCTTCTGTTGTTAGATTTATTTTCAATATGCACTGTCTAATCTGCAAGTACTTCCAGAAGTCACTGTTTTCTTGCAGATTATACTCCTGAACAAGATCAGCAAATTATTAGATAATACCCTCACTGAAAAAAATCGCCAATTGTGTGGATTCCATTTTCTAACCACTTTCTCCAAAACACAGTGCGTTTACCTTAATTGCATTTATTTTAATTTTGGGATTGAGCCACAGAGAGAAATACTGCTGTTTGTAATGTTAGAGTTTGTGTAGCTTGTGGATCCTTGCCCACACTTCCTTAGAGTGTTGGATGACTGGATTTCTGTCCTCTTCTAAGCCAGTTACCTGTTGGAATAACAGCTGTCTGTGGTGAAATGGTGTGGCAAGAGTCTGTTCTATAATAATTTACAGATTTAAAAGATCGATTTTATTGCAATATTGTGGGACCAACTAACTGTTCAAATTATAAATGAAGTTTAAAAAATATTCAAACAATAAACTGAGTTTTTCATATCTCATAAGTTATCAGTGTCTTGAAGCTAGTGCCTTAGTGAAACAGCATTCGCTCAAAAGATTATATGTATAACAGAATCCGACAAAAAAAGAAAAAACTTTTCTTTCAGAGTCCACTCAGTGTGTTCGAGTGTTAAATATTTGCAAACCTAACTCTGTGTTATCTCTTTTAAACTAGATGGAAGTGCAAATTTTGAGATAGCCTTAGCAAGTAAAAATTTAAGAGGGCTTCTGCTTCCTGTTTGTATAAAAATCTTTGTGTTGTCTCTTCTTTTTTGAATGATGCAATCTCCATGCATTAGAGGGCAGTCAACCCTTTTATATTTCTGCAAATTACAGAAAAACACAATAAATTTGGGGACGCAAAGAACAAAGCTTTATGTATGACACAGATTTACAGGAAGAAAAAAAAAAGCACCTGCTTAAAGTTTGTGGTAATATTTGCCACATGATGAGACAACAATAAAATGGATCAGGGGTATTATAAAAGATATAGCTAAACTTTCATCTAAGCTGGACTTGCCTGGCAGTTGTTTAAAATATCAATTCTATTTCAAATTGTGTTTACAAAAAAAAAACTGAATACAAAATTTTGATTAGAAAACAGACAAAAATATGCTTACTATGCAATAATTAACGATAATGATTAACCTTTCGTTAGGAAACATAGTTCTGATCAGCTGTTGAGCTAAGTGTAAAAATATTTACAGCAGGGGGTTTTAACATCAAATTATATTGTAAAAGTTGCAGCGGCATGTGTTATCCTGCTTCTAGGGATTGAAATCCTACTCTTTAGTTATTAGTTATTATTATTATTACTATTTTGTTGGCCGTTCAATCTGCCCTAGAGCTGTTAGTATATGCTAAAAGTTGTTTTAAAGCGCTTTTTTGTTTTAGAAAGTTTACAAAATTATTCATCAGTTTTTGTTTGCTGCGTCTCAACTTGGAACTGAAGGTCAAATGCTCAAGATGGATGGGCGTGGGCCCTGCAGCGGATAGTGAGGGCAGCTGAAAGGATCTTTGGTTTCTTAATTTTCTTGGTTTCAGCGCTGCTGCAGATGACAATAATCAATAATCAAGCAAAGACACAAGCAAAATGCTGTCTTATTTCATTTTTTGCCATTATGCAGTTAAACCCCAATAACTAGGTGTAACTCTGAACAGGTTTGCATTAAAAACCTCCCAACAATGTGTTAATGTGAGTCAAATGGTTCCAAATGGATAGTTTAAAAAAAAAACTTTTTTCTCTAACTGTGTTCTACCGCTCTATATTGGCAACTAATGCGCCTCTTTAATAAGAAAGAAAATCAATTTGAGCAATTCCAGCTAAATGAAGCTGTGTGTAGTGACGCTGTGCCTCACAAGTGGTTCAGCTGCACAGTTGAAACAGGTCGCAGCAGGTTGTTTACCTCAGTTGGGCTTTGGTATCTTAGAAACATATAAACTGCGCCATAACGAAGGAGCTCAGGGATTTATTTATTGTCAAGAGAATAAAACCACAGCTGCAACCAAAAGGTTTGTTGAGCATGTGTGTGTGTGTGTAGTCTGTGGAGTATGGGGATTGAACTGGGAAAGTCTCTGGTTGTTGAACTTTGATAAGGATTGATGGCTAGCCTGTTGACGATGCTTATGATGACTTTTATTTTCCTTTTATGCTTTCCTTTTACAGCTGAATTCCTCTTCCTGCTGTGGGGCGTGTACCTTTGTTACGCCGTGAGGACCGTGCCCTCGGCGTTCCATGAGCCTCGATACATGGCCATTGCTATTCACAACGAACTTGTGCTTTCATCTATCTTCCACGTAATCAGGTAACTACACCCAATCATCTGGCCACATTAGCTCATATGGTTAAAATAAGTTACTTGCATACCCCACACAAGAAGACACATTATAATTTAGGGGTTGCGTCCTTTGAAGTTAGTTACATAGCCCTGTTTGCCTAGAAAACAAAAAAAACATGAAGCAAAGCGATCATCTGTGAACTGAGACCACCTAACTTTCCCCGACTGTCTCCACCCTCATGTCAGTGTCACTCCTGTTGCCTAGCAACATTCTTTGGTTTAATGATTTGCAGAAAAACTATTTTCTTTTTCATAATATAAAAACTTCCGGGAATCTAGAGGAACTGCATGGAGTTTGCATGTTCTCCTTGAGCATGTGTGGGTTCCCTCTGGGTACTCCGGCTTCCTCCCACAGGCCAAAAACATGACTGTTAGGTTAATTGGTTTCTCTAAATTGTCCTTAGGTGTGAGTCTGTGTGAATGGTTGTTTGTCTCTGTGTTGCCCAGCCGGGCTGGCAACCTGTCCAGGGTGGACCCCACCTCTCACCCGTAGACAGCTGGAGATAGGCACCAGCACCCCTCGACGCAAAATGGATGGCAAAAACCATCAGGCTGTTAATGATAAAGTCAAATTTCAAATCTTCAAAATTGAGGAACATCTTTAAATTGCTTTCTAGATCCAAAGTTTTTGCACCAATATTTGTGAACAGCACAAAATATCAAAAGTTAAAACAATATGTGCAAACATTAAAGCATTGTCAAATTAAAAATTGGGGACAAATAGATTGTCTAAATAAACAATGATCCTAATTACATCCCATTATAGGTAAAAAAAAAAAAAAAGGATTATGGAGAAAAGATAGTGTTTGGTAGTGGCCCTCATGAAACTCTAAAATCATACAAGGTTTGTATCAGCAAGTTAATCAGCCAAAAGGAATGGACAAAAAAGTAAAAAAAAAAATAACTGTGAAAGGTTTGTGAAAACCCATATAACTCTTTTTAAAATACAACTTTATGAAACTAAGAATATTTGTTTTTTTACAGAAATTTAGTAAATCTAAATAATTCTGGGATATTTTAACTGGCTCTAAAACCCTTTTTACCTCTAAATATTTTTTTATTTTGCTGCCAAACTGTACAAACAGATTTTGTATATCATTATCTACATATGCAAGATATTATTATGAGGATTTACAGCACATTTGTTGAATTGCTGCTTATGCGTCTAAAAACCATCTGTTTGGCGTCCTCTCCAGGTATATTTCTTTAGCCTGAGGTGTGACCTCACCAAGGGAGAACTGATGTACGCAGCTGCTCTCTGCTGACTCATGCCTGAGTTTTTAATTATAAAAAATTAATATAAATCATGATGTTCTTGAATATAGCGCAAGAGTTCATAAAAGAAAAATAAATGCTTTCAAATTGTATAAAAAGAAGTTTGTATTATCTATAGATTCTATACCAGGAGTGGTTAATTCCAGTTCCTGAGGGCCGGTACCCTGCAACTTTTAGAAGTGTGCTAAGTCCAACTCACCTGAAACAAGTATTAAGATGATTAACAGAACACTGCAGAAATTGACTCCATATTGACGGAGTATTTCAGCCATTTGATTCTGGTATGTTAGACTAAATACAGAGCTAAATCTTGTTAGATATGGGTCCTCCAGCACTACAGGTGTGATCTATCCAGTCTAATATTATGATTTAACCCTGGTTTTGTGAGTGAATGTCACATTACCTTAAAGTGATTGGAAATAAAATCAATGTTAAAGAAAATGTTTTTAAAACATTAAAAAAAAGCACGTTCAATACTTTAAACGTGTTGTTTAAAGTATTGATTTGGCTTTTATTTTTTATCAACTGATCACAAAACATGAAAGTTATTCATTTTTAGTTTATCTAGAATGATTGGTTTATTATTGATTTCCCTTCAAGAACCACCATATGAGGCAGGAGAGAACAGCTATGCAGAATCTCTGAGCCACTGGCTCAAACCGCTACAGTTCAGGGCTGCTTGTCTCTTCCACAGACCCTTCCTCCAGTTCCTCTTTCTCTGTTTAAGATGGCGGAGGGGAATCCGACCACTCTGTCATAAAACTATGATCGTTTGGATTGCTCTGTTTGTCATGTTTGTGCTGCTGTAAGTGCCAGTGTGCCCCTCTCAATCACAGCTGAGACCGGACCAAGATCTCCCCCCACTGTACGCCCCCTGCACCTTTGGGTTACGCCTTTCAGGCAGCAGGGTTATAAATATTACAAGTGCTACAAGTATGGCTTTGGAGTTAAAATATATTGATCTTATTTGCGCAATCAGCTCCAAAAACAGCAAAATTAGTGTTTACATGGATCCCCAAAGTATAGGGGCTAGACCATATCCAATGAAGCAGTTCTGTATTTTTTCAACCATCCTTCTGTATGTATATATCTTGATTTAACTATATAAACTAACAATGAGACAGTAGGTTTCATTTCTTACTCGTTCAAAACTGCGCTCTAATTTTCTTTTAAAAAATAACTCTTAAGAAATGTTTTGGAGCAACTGTAATTTTTTTACTTGGTGAACCTGAAAAAGATCCAATAAATCCCAGCTCACATATATTACATTAGCTCAGTGAACAGCTTATTAGTATCGACTCTAGATGCAGCCTGTTTCTCCTCTTACCATTTTTTTAGCTGCTGCCCAGAAAGTTAGGAGCCGTGATTACTCACCCAGACATTAAACTTCAAAAGACAGAGACAGAATGGAAAGATAAAAAAATAGAGAAATATTAAGAGGTCAGACATACACAGCTGCAACGTCACGCTCATGCAGGTCTTTAAAACTTTATTTTCTCTCTGATAAAAGAAAATTTGTCAAATACAGTAAAATAAAAACATTTTTAGTTTAAGTATACTCCACCCTCTAATTTGAGCAAGTTTAGTCAATTGATGCTCCCTCTAACCACCCCAGGAAAACAAATATGCCACGATTTGGATAAGGTTTGTTGACCCAACAGCAGAGGCAGGGAGGCAAATTTCTTGTGGATTTAATGATGAGATAACTGAGAACAGAGGCAGGTTATCCAAAAAATCCAAATATGAAAACAAAGTCCAAAAACAAAGAGGAAACCAGGAATCCAAAAATCCCCCCAAAAAACTAAGCCCAAATTAACATGAAACCAGGAGTCCAAAAATCCAAAATCAAAACAAGAAAACGAGTCAAGACAAACCAGAAACCATGGAGACATCAGGGGGATCACAATCACAAAGAGGTAGGCTCAGAGAGACAGAGTTGGTGGAAGTTTGAGGAGGACCCAGCAAAGAAGAACTGAAAAGAGAGGGTATTTAAGGGAGACTGAGACAAATAGAGAGCTAATGAGGAGATTGGGAACAGGTGTGCATAGAGCAGAACAGAAAAGGAGCTAGGGAAAAAGAAGAACATAAGAGGGCAGTACTTGACTGTCGGTACTCGTATTTGTATCGGAAGCACAATCTGTACCATCAGCTTAAACTGCCTAGATGCAACAGCTGTTTTCACAGGTCTCCATTAATAATGTTATCACAGTGTTAAACCATTATCTATATCTTGAAATCATCAAAGAATGTTAAGGTACAACTTTTCTGAGAATTGGATGCATCTTCCATTCTGTCTGGTATGTTGCTTGTCTGACAATATCATCAGACATGCTCAGAGCAGCCCTGCAAAATACTATTGCATTATGTTAATCTTAATTTTTAAATGCATTTATTCTTTAATAAAATAAATTATTTGCCTTTTACAGATTGTGGTTTAGTAACTTGTTATAATTAAGAAAAAAAAGTTATTGCATTCTTTTTTATGAAGCACAATCGAGGGCAACCTGGTTAACGGCAAATAAGTTAACAATATGGATCTGGTAGTGAGGAGCACAAAGGCTTGATCTCTACATATCTCCAGATTTTTGCTCAATACATCACACACATCACAGTGATGAATTGTGGGTAATTTACTTCGGTAAAGTCTGCTCATATGCGATAAGAGGGCAGTGAAAAAACGTTCCGGAGAGTTATGTCATACTACCTGCTTAAACCAACTGACTGGAATGTTTGTTTTAGGAACACCAGGGTTGCAGTATTTGGACTTAACCTCTGACTCGGCTTGTTTTTGCCATTAGAGTACAGGGTTCAAATTTAAACGAGCTCTGAGCAGGATGTGTGGAATCTCCATCTTTTTCAGCCGGTTTAGCTCCAGGTGGTTCTGAGTGCACCATTGGACTGTCTGTGCATTGTAATGAAAACACTGATTAAATAATCTGAAATAAGGTTGATTGCAGCAAAAATGCTAATTTTACAGAGCTTTAGGAGATGAAGTGAAGGGTTCTGAAAAGAAACTCAAACTTCAGAGATTTATATTTGTTGCAAATTCTGAGAATTATGCCTAACCTTTCCTCCCTTTATCATGTAAAATCAGAAAGCATAACTGGGAAGGTGCAGTTTATTGCATGTAGGCTAAAAGTAATGCAATCTGCTCATCGTTTCACAGTAAAGTTTCTCCGCTCTGCATGTCAAATCCCAGTACAAAGCCGTTTTATATGAGCTACCATCACAGCAGCTATTTTTAGCCCCTAACTGACAGATCAGCCCCATCACATTACTTACTGATGAAGAGCGCTGCAAAGATTTATTTTCTATGATGGTATTACAGGTAAAGTTACTGACAGCCATACTTTAAGCCTAAGTTGCTCATGAAGAAATGCTCTTTCTATGAGGTTTTTGAGATCCTAATCATGACCAGGCCTCTAAAGCCTTGTTTTGTTGTAGTTCTTTGCAGTAAGCAGCCAGATGACACCTTTAATAAATTACACAGTTCCCTGGTTAGGTGCGTGGATTCTGAGCGGTGGCCATCTGGGGCCAGAATCTTCTCCGCTGTTTGTTAGATGCATCTATCGTGTTTGTCTCACCAACCGGCTATTTGATCCCACGACGGCCAGTTAAAGCTCAGGCTTCCAAGTAGGTTATTCATCAGGGGTTTATTCAGGTGAAGGGGAAAAGAAAGAAAATGAGTGGAGATGACATGACTTTGAATCCTTTGGGCGAGCAATTCAAGCTGAGCAGAGACAACCAGAGCTATTAAATTGTCATCTGCACAAAAACTCATAACCAAGCATGAAGGAGGAGAGACTTTAAAGCTTTTGGGACATTTTGCATGCAGGACCTTTGCCTTCATTCATGCCTTCAAGCTGTTACCACAGTAACTGTTCATTAATTACCCATTTGCTGACTTTAATGAGACTGCTATATGACATTTGCTTGCATTGTAGTTCTCTGCTGCTTGAATTAGCTTCAGAGAGGACATGCCTTCAAATGCTCAGCACACACTGAGCTGAAATTTGGATAGTTCATTTAAAAAAAAGACTGGAGTTACTCCTCACACCACTGTTGTTTCAGCTCCTAATTATCTCATTTCCCGCCGACTGCTGCGCCACAGCCTACCCAGCGTATTCCTTACTGATGTAAAAATAGACCAAATCCTAACACCAGATTGAGGTCACATCTCCTATATTCTTTTTTTTTCTTTTTTTGCAAATCCTTGTGAAGGCTTGAAGAAAAATATTCTGTCATAGCTGCCAAAAGGATCACCCAAGTGGAACAATATATGAAACAGTGGAACTGACAAGAAGACCGTCTACTCTGTCCTGGAGGTCTCCCTTTTAAAAGGTTTAAAGCAGACACAGCAGAGTGCATCAAAAGTCCCAGTCTACTTAAAATTTGCAGCAGTGGTTCTGTAACTTAGGTTGCCGCCTCTTAATTTATATTTCCTTTGTATTTCTTTGTTTACTTCACAGGTTCACTCTTGCTCATGAACTCCATCCAGACTGGATGCTGCTGCTGTTCTTCACTCATACCCACCTGACTGTGACAGTTACTCTGGGTCTGCTGCTTATTCCCAAGGTAGGCATAACAGAGTTTTTATGCACTGTATAGTATTCAAATCTGTAATGTTTTGTCATTTTTGTCCCATTAAAACACGTATATAGTAATTTATATAGTAATAATATATAGTAAGTAATTTGGATTTGAGACATAGCGACTCAAGGTGGTGAATGAGTTTAAATAGAAGGAGAAATATTATGTGCAGTATTTTAATTCTTTGCAAAATATCTAAGGACTTATTTTGGAGTGAATTGATTGATTGATTGATTGATTGATTGATTGATTGATTGATTGATTGATTGATTGATTGATTGATTGATTGATTGATTCAATAGACTCATTGTCCATAAAGAGATGATACACAATACAAAGAGTTATTGCAGAACATGACACACACACACACACACACAAAAAAAAATCAATCTTAAAAGACTCTTGCATACCAATGATTCCAATGATAGCGCACAGAGAGAGGGATGTGAAAATATTATATAAGACTGTTCAATGAGCTGCTGAAATTACAAATAATCTTGTATATCAGATTTCTCTCAAGTGCCTGGAATGTTCTGACATGTGCATTATAAAACACTTCTAAGGAGTTGTTATGTATAATAAATTTTAAATTTTTCTAAAGAGGTTTGTAAGTTGAAAATAAAAAATTATGGTAATCAGTTTAATTAACAAAGAACATCCATGGTAATCTATTGAACTGGCACTTAAATTCAAGACTGTAGAAACTACAGTCACACCAGTGTCTTGCACTGCATGGTTCCGATTTCAATGGTTTTACTAACAGATAAATAGGTTTTGTCATTGCTGATGTTGTCCCTACAAGACAGTTATATTAGTAAGAAATAAACATACCTTGAGCATCAGATGTCTAAAGGGGTCCGCAGATTTGAAGCTGCCAGCCTATCTATCGGGAGGAGTTATCTTCCCAGAGAAAAACAAAACCCACTTATCTGAGGAACGCCACAGACTTTCAGGCATCTTTTAGTGTTGCATCTGCTGAGTAGATGAACACTTTCAAGGCCAACAAGTTGATTTATGGCACACATATAAAAACATGATATCCTGAGGTGACCTAAAATCTACGATCCTGACTCAGCTTTAACATTGATAATTCACAGATGCAATGTGTCGTTTTTTTTTTCCAAAAAGCCTGTAACTTTGACTAGACCATTTCAAAGTCTGCACTAATCTAAACCATTCAGTTGTAGCTCTGGATTAATATTAAAGGTCATTTTAAAACTGGTAAGTTAACCTCCAATCAGGTCACTAGTTTTACAGAGTTTAACAGATTTTATCTCTGCTTAATTTAATTCAGTTTATTTATATAGCAACTTATAACACACATTTGAAGGCACTTAAAAATGCAATTTCAATTGAATTAAATGTGAATTACAGACACTCCAAAACTGATACTATTTACCAAACAATGCAGTTTAGTTTATTACTTAGGTTGGTTAAACACTACTTCAAACTAAAGGCAAAGTAAGTTTATTTATATAGCCCATTTCAGTAACAAGACAATTCGAAGTGCTGAACATAAATAAAGAAAAGTACATTGCAGTGCCATAAAGGAGAGAATAAAAGTTAATACTTACAATGACTATATTATATATTGAAAATTATTATAATGAAAATTATAAAAGGATTGAATAAAACTAACAACCTAAACATATTTAGATAGCACAGTCACAGGCCAAATTTTTTTTTTCACTCTGATCTTCAGAAAAGTCATCAGGTACTCCACTGTTGTTCTTTTTGTCTTACTGCAAACTTTTTGAGAATGTGGGTCTGTCTTCCAATTACAAATTCTCTCCACATTAAGATGTTTCTCAATTGTTGAGAGAAATTCGCTAAACAATGTAGACTAGAGCCAATCTGTGTGGGAAGTGCATTAAACTACCATGTGGTAAAATGAGTATTTCCTCGGACTGCCTATTGACTTTCCAGCAATCTATCATACTGGGCATACGCAACAGCGAAAAGGAGATTCTTAGTTTGTGTTCAGTATGTATCAACAGGCAATAGAGTACACATAGGCCACTTTTACTGTGTTTCAGTTTGAGGGAAATCCCTTACAGAAGTGTACAAGAGGTTGTTAAAGATTTACAGTCTATTAACAAATGTTTTAAATGTTCACCAGTTTCTGTTTGCTGGGACCCACATGAGAGATGATATAGCCTCTGAAGCCTACGAGGATGAGCTGGACATGGGTCGGTCTGGGTCCTACCTCAACAGCAGCATTACTTCAGCATGGAGCGAGCACAGTCTGGACCCTGAGGACATTCGGGTAAGCAGTGTTTTCATTTGCCTTTCTTGTAATTTGCATAACCTGGCGATACCTTTGAACCCTCTACAAATTGAGCCATGGCAGTTTTTTATTGCAGACACCAGAAGAAATGGGCCCTCTCAGTTCTATTAATGGCTGTGGCGTAAGGTCTTGCGACAGCCTTTGGGAAAAACGTACTAACGTGAGCAGAGATATCTGTTTGTCTGTTAGAGCTGAAGAAGTCTCTCTACCAAAAGATTTGGGTGCCTTCAGAGCTTTTCATTGAGGAAGTGGAATTATGATCATTTCCAGGTTTCTTGTCTCAGATGAAGATACAGATGGAACCAATCAAGGACCCGAGATTAGAGGCTGTTTCAGAACTAACGTTAAAATAAGCTGTTTCCTTATTTGATGCTGTCCAGAACAGTCCTGTCTTTGCTTTTCTTTCAGCAAGCATGCGATTTTTGAGTAGTCGGTCTTTTAGAGATGTTTGTAGTCATCTGTCATGAAGTTGTACTGCATGGTTCAAGTGGAGTAGATTGTCTGTTTTACCATAGAACATGTCTTGTACCTGCATTTGAATACTCTTTAGCAGAAGCTCAACATAGCTTCACTACTCTGCATTTGTGTTTTGTTTTCTATTCTTAGGAGGAGTTGAAGAAATTATACTCCCAGCTGGAAATTTACAAAAGAAAGAAGATGCTTGCAAATAATCCTCATCTGCAGAAGAAACGAAGCTCCAAGAAAGGTTTGGGGCGCTCACTGATGAGGCGCATCACTGAGATTCCCGAATCCGTTCATCGGCAGTGCAGCCGGGAAGACAAAGAGTTGGGGGACCATGGGAGTAATCGTAACAGCATCTGCATGCTGAAAAAGAACCCCTTGGATCAAAGTCATCAAATGAAACCAACCAAGGACGAGACATTAAAGAACAAGGTCTTCTCCTTGAAGAAGTCCCACAGCAGCTACGACCATGTTCGGGACCAGAATGAGGATGGTGATAGAACTGCGACAGAGAAGATGGAGATGGCTACAACCGAAGGATCATTACTGGACACACTCATGGGCAAAAAGCTGGTCAAAAAGAAGTCCAGTGACAATATAAATGCACCAAGTGAATCTACAGAGTCTGTTCCATTAGTTTGCAAGTCAGCCAGTGCCCATAATCTTACTGCTGATAAGAAACCAATTCATCCAAGAGCATCCATGCTACAAAAGTCTTTGAGTGTTATTGCCAGTGCAAAAGAGAAAACGTTGGGCTTGACTGGAAAGACGCAAAGCTCCGAGGACAGCAATAAAAAGAGTCAGCCAAAGAGCAAAGACACGAAGATAAGCACAGAGACAGAAGAGGACTGTCAAACAAAGATGATTATCAGCCAGTCGGTTGAGTACAAACAGAGTGCATCAAAAGGCACTATCATGAAGCAGCCGGTGACCAGTAGCCAGCCAACAATCTGCTCCGATCCAGGGAGGGGAAAAGACCTTTACGATGTCTCAGAAGTGTGTCCCTGGGAGTTGGAAGATCTGCCAACTCCATCAGAAAACAAGGTCCAAAAGCATGTCTCAATAGCACCCAAGGAAACTACAACTATTCATGGAGGCAGCACCAAAGGAAGCAAACATCACAAGCAGAAGGCTTCTGATCAGTCTCCATCAAGTGGCAGGCATTCAAAGGAGAGTCAGAAAACAACCGCTGTACGAGCTGAGGTGTGTCCTTGGGAGGAAGGAAGTGAGAGTCTCTCAGAAGGATCAAGGCAACAATTGTCTAGTCAGTCAAAGTCAAACAGGCCACATTCTACTTTAGAAAGCTCCAAAACAAAGCGTACAGACATTTGTCCATGGGACTTTGAAGAGCAGCAAAAGACATCAGAAATGGCACTGTCTAAAGAAACAGCAAAGCAGAAAAAGACCACATCCCCTGTCGATGTTCGAGGGAGAACCTCCCTTTCAGATACATCCAAAAGGGCAGCATCTTTGCACCTACCAACAACAAAAGCTGAAATCTGTCCCTGGGACTATGACAGTGCTGCAGTTTCACCAAACACTGACAGGACACCTAGTCCAGCACAAGCCCCCAAATCTAAAGAATACACCTCAATAAAGAAAGGTACCACATCCGACAGGACAGTTGAGAAAGAAAAGTCAAAAGACGCTGAAGACGAAAAAAGTTTAACAAAGGCTCAGGACAGAAATAAATCAGACAAACGTTTGAGCCAACAGAAATTGTCTGAGGTTTGCCCATGGGATGCAGAGAGTCCACAGGAGGGTCTGCAGATAGAAAAAAGGAAAAGTGCTAATGTTGGAGCCGTCAAACCAAAGAAGGCTGAAGTTTGTCCATGGGATTTTGAGGACACTTCAAGTAAGATGGGCTCTGATAAAAGCTCTCCTTTAGAAAAGCAGAGCAATCCAAATCCAAAAGGTGCAGCTGCAAGTTCAGCTAAGAAAGAGGATGTTTGCCCCTGGGATTTTGATGAGAGCATATCAAGCAAGAAGGCATGACACTGAACATAAATGGACCACTTCAATTATAGTTAATTTTTTTCTTTTTTTCACCTACAAAGAGTTATATATTACCTTTTACTATTTGTATGGTAACTTGGAAGCAAAGTTAATCCACAAGTTGCCTTCCTTTCAAAGGTTTTGTTCCAGTTTTACATATTTGGAATATGTACAAAATGACAAAACTAAGTCAAAAAAGAGCATTCCAGAATATTACAGGGAAATTCCTGGATATAAATTGTATACCAATTATGCAATCGTTTCACTTTATAAGCAATGTCAGACATCAGCTTTTGCCATCTCTGCTCTCCTTACTTTCATTTTGCTGTCTCTTACGTGGGCTTACCCAGATGTGACAACATTTAGAAGATATTTTACATTAGTTTACACGCAATATTTTCTCTCTGTTGTCACACGGATGCAATTTAGGTTGAAGTTTGAAACGAGGATTTCAAAGCCAAAGAATAGGGCAACCATTGCAAAGGGTATTGTTGGTCTTCAATCTGTGCTTGGTTATGAGTTTATTTGTTGGACAAAAAAGGAGGAAAATCCATCTTTAGCACTTTAGCCAACATCACCAATTTACAGCTAAGTAACAAAAATTGTCTTTCATATACATTTTATTATTGATTTATTTCTTTATTATTGATCTTGATTTACAATTTGATCACAAGCAATCATACATACAGCATATATAAATATATATTTTTAGATCTATTTAATTGTAGTTCTTTACAGATTAAAATGCTTCCAAGTCTGTAAAGATGTACTTTATGTGCCTAACTATTAGCATCGTCTTGTACCAGTCTGAAGGGAGAAAAAAAAATTGCTTTTTTGTCTGGATTTTGTCACAGTGATCTATATTAACAGCATGCACAGCCAGGTGCAGAGTAGCTGGACTCTACTTGTTTATCAACTGACCAGTGCTGATGTTTTAGCTAGCTCCCCCCATTCAACAATATTTGTGCTCCTGTTTGCATATCCCTTAAAAGCTAAAAAAAAAAAATGGTTGAACAGAACTGGATTTGCCTGGATGTGTGTCTAAATTGCTTTTATATTTTTAGCATGTTTACACAGGGAACGGAAACAGTACAGAGTGAGGTCATTTGCACGGGTCATACCTACATGCACATCACCCCTTTGCCATTCCTCAGATTTTTTTATTTTGGCTTTTTTGTACAGGATTCCACGTGTCTTCTACTAAAGGGGCATTTTGTCCCAACCAGATGTCGATTCAATTTATACCCAACATGGGGTCATTTTATACAACGACCTGCCATAATTAGGAAAATTTTTGTATTATTTTTATTTTACTCTGTCTATTATATGATTAAACATATGATTCCAGTCAATATCGGTACACCAGAGGACACCTAGCCATTGCAGTTAAGTTCCTTTGAATTGACTGAATGTCTTATCCTTGTTCGTGTTTGTTTGTTTATTACAGCTACAAATAACAACCACTAAATGTAGCTTTAAAAACAGGTGATATGATGATCATCGCATGTTGATTTTCCCATGATGGTTTGCAGAACAGCCCGCTATCACAATCAGCTGGTCCAAATAGGATTACAACCCAGACAAATAGGTATATGGAGGTATATGCAGTTTTCCAATAATGATATATACTTATTCACAGCTGAAAGGTTTTGTAACTTCCATGAAGGTATTTACCTTCAAAGCGAAATAATCTGATAGGCAAAGGTTCAAGTAGATGAAAATAAAAATGCATTTTATTTCAGGTATCAAATAGAGGCAGGAGCCATCAGTAGCAGGATAAATTCTATCAATCATTGCAAATTCATTTATGACTTGAAGATGTTTTATACCCATTTTGACAACTAAGATTTGAAATAGCTTAATTTAACTTACCCCATTTTCTAGTATATTTAAGGTAGGCGGCTTTTTGATTTTAATAAATATGTATCAGGAATACATTGCCTAGAGTTATTCTGGTTTTCTGAGTGATCTAATCTCTAAAATATTGATTTATTATTTGATTTATCTTTGGGATTAATAAAGTTTTTTTTTTTATTAAATTGAAATGAGTTGAATGAAGGCTAAAAGTACAGTTAATTGAATATTTTTTTTATTTAATTATTTTTTAGTGGTGCAGTGGGTAGCACTTCTGCCTTGCAGCTAGAAGGTTCTAGGTTCAATTCTTTCTTTCTGCATGGAGTTTGCATGTTCTCCCTGAGCATGCATGGGTTCTCTTCGGGTACTCTGGCTTCCTCCCACAGTACAAAAACATGACTGTTAGGTTAATTGGCTTCTCTACATTCTCCTTAGGTGTGAATGGTTGTTTGTCCTGTTTGTCTCTGTGTTGCCCTGCAATAGACTGGCGAACCGTCCAGGGTGTACCCCGCCTCTCGCCCATAGAAAGCTGGAGATAGTCACCAGCATCCCTTGCGACCCCACTTGGGGTTAAGCGTATCAGAATAATAAAAAATTAAAATGGATGGATAACTATTTTTGAGTTTAAAAAATTTTGACGATTATTTTTCTTCATAGTTCATACACATAACTACATGGAACTGAATTGAAGTGATACCTAATTGTACATAGGTACTAAAAAAAGTGGTTTTAGAATTAGAATGAAAATACGATGTGAGAAAATGCTTAAACAGTGATGAATTTGTTAAGTTAATATGTATGAAAAGACTTGTTCATGGGTACAAAACATAAGTACTTAGGGATGAAATGACTACGCCAGGAGTATAATTTAGTTAATTTGTCCCCGCATTGTTTTTGATGCCAGCACAAATATTTGTGGTGCACCAAATATGACTGCAGATGTCCCACAAGTCTGGCCCTCTCTTCTTTTTTCATTCACTGAGTCAGAATAAAGGTTAACTAAAACAAAGAGTTTGAAAGCCAGTTAAATGCTTATTCTCAACATTTCTGTTTTATATTTACCAGTATGTGGCTCATCTGGTTTTGTTAGACAATCAAAAGTCAGAGTTAGGTTGCTTCAACAGGAGGAAACACAACTTTTTCTGGCCCTTTTCTTCCTGCATGTCTGTAACTTTCTATTAATCTTCCATTATTAACTTGGGAAATAAAAATATATATATTTTTAAAGAATTTATGTAAATGTTGCATTCCAACAGAAAGAGGACCAAGGAATTTTTTACAGAGAATGAGACTAACCTGCTCCAACCAAACCCCAAAACAGTTTGTACAAACTAACATTAATGTCTCTGATCACTTTTTGAGATCAGAACAGGAAAAACTTGCCCCGCTTTTATCAAGGTTAAAGGTGTAATTACCTCTTGTTGGCATGCATAGATTATGCACCTACATCCCCACTTCTAATTGTCTTTTTCAAAAATGTCCACTTTGAAAAGGTTTGAATTCTTATATATATATATATATATATATATATATATATATATATTATTATTATTATTTTTTTTTTTTTTTCATTAAAATCCAAGTTTAAATTTCAGAAAATCCAAGTTTAAATTTCAGAAATTGTTTTAGCAAATTGCAGCAATTGTTTGTCTGCATGGAAAGTAATAATTCAAATTTATATCTAAAATAATAGTCTGATAACTACTGAAGAAATGTTTGCCTTTTATTACTGTATAAATTAGATTATCGTGGGGATTATACTGAATGTAACCATAAAACAAAGACACAATTCTTTTAAGACATCCTTTCTGAAAGTCTGAACAAGTCAACAACCAAAATTACAAAAATAAAAATTCTACATGAAACATTGCAATAAAATAGTTATTGCAATGGATATGATGAGATAAAGCAGGTGCTATTTGTTCAGGCACTCTCGTGGTTCACTGCCAGTTAGGCATGGCCCCTTCTCTTACTTAAATTACATTTAAGTGCAAAGTATTCACACAGCAATTATATTTTCTCCCCTGGTAAATCAGTGGACAACAAAAAAGATCCCATGCTTACCACAGGATACCTTAAAAAGAGTGGAAAGTCCATACAGGCCAGTTTAGTATGTAACTGTTCATTTTTACCAAACCATGTGATAATCCTCAGTATTTTACCAGGATAAGCAACATTGGCAGGATTGATAGTTCTCTCTTAATATAGTGTAATACAAAAAAAAACACAAAGATGTAATTGGCAATGCAGAAAAGAGAATCATCATTCTACACGATTGGACTATTCATCAGGTCATACCTCTTGCTTACAAAACCACTGCACTGCAGCCACCTCTGCTTTGGTCCAGCTGATTATCCATTACAGTGAAAAGTCTGGTTTCTTTTTACGACTGGCAGGTACGGTTATTATTGGGTTGTTGGATGCTTCGACACAGAAACCAATAATCCCTTTCTAATAGTCACTCCTTATTGTGTTGCAAAATTCACTCTGTGTTTTGGTGACCTAATGTAGAAACTGGTTTCTCAACAGTGCAGTCTACTGTTAAATACCACAAATGACAATAAAACCATATAAACCAAATGCAATCCCTATTAAACTCATACAGAGGTCCTTAAAAATGGATTACCTTTGACAGGTAACTTTCACTTTCAAAAAAAGTGAAACAAAAAAGCTAGAAATTACACTGGGCTAAAACAAAAACCATTAAAGTCTGTTCAGGGCTGCAAAAAATTCGGCAAGGTTTTCATTTTTACTGGACGCCACAGCGGTCCCATGTCAAATGCAAGGGAAAAAATGAGCCAAGATGTAAAACTTTGGCACCAGACAGGAAATAGTTTTGGTGAATTTCAGAATAAAATCAACTCATCAATTTATGCTTACTTAAATAGCTAGTGTAAACATCACAGCGAAAGACAATAAGGGGTCTGAGGTTTCCCCATGGGATGTAGACCAGCTCTCAATAACAAAACGTAGCATAAGAGTTGGCTGGCCAATTTGAGTTTTAAAGACACATTCAATTCTGGCGCTTCAAATTAGCCACTCATCTGTGCCTACACCACGAAAAACTTCATTGAAATAAGGCAGTATTTTTCAATAATGTTCTTGTTTGGAAAAATGTCTAGGTTTTACGAGGTGTACATGTTTTACACGTTTCAGTTTTATTACTTTAATTGATCTGTGTTAGAGCTGCAACTAACAATTATTTTACAAATCGATGAATCTGTCTATTATTTTTTCGATCAATAATTGGATAGCCAAAGGTTCCTTAAAGAAGACTTTAGCATAATTAATCCAGGTGAAACTAAAACATTTCCACTTGAAGAATTCTAGATAGAGCATATTGACAGAGGAAAACGTTTTTTTAATCTGAAAAGCAAAATTTACATATTTGATCTTTTTTTTTAACAAATTTGGTATAGTTACTGCACTACGTAGGTTGATCTGTCAGTTGAAGACACATTTTAGAGTCTGTATTCTCCATTTAAAGATTAATTAATTACTAAATAAGTTGACGATTATTTCAATCATTGATTAATCATGATTAATCCAATTAATTGTTTCAGGCCTAATTTGTATATTGTTTACAGTGAGATTATCCAATACCTTTTAGTGATCTACATGCTGCTTTGACAAAAAGGGGACTTCTAAACTTACAGACATGTCCTGGGAGCACATCAGATTTACTGCCAAGAGGGATGAAAGACCTGGTACCATTTATTGTGCTTTTAGAGGAGTTGTTGCACATGTTTAGATGTTGTTGTTTTTTTGGGTGGGGGGGGAAATACCATCTCAGATTTTTTTTAGAAATGATAAAAATAAATAAAGCAATATTTAAAAGGCTATTTCAAATAACAGACCAAATATATTTTTGCGTTTAAGTTGATTTTAGGAGGATGAAAATACTGAGAGTGCAATATCCCATCTTGAAACTAAATAAATCACTTTTTTTTGTTACAGTAAACCCAGTTTGTTGTTTGATTTGAATAATCTATGATTATGAGCTTGCTGTATGATTTTCCTTACCTCAGTTCATTTTTTGGTGTGTGTATTTAACTCTGTGAAACATAAGCGATGTCTCTTAACTGTCAGTTGCTCTGGAAATGATCACTGTATTTTATAATCATCATCAATGAATTGGTGCAAGTCTGAACCTGAAC